GCCTTTCTTATGAAATTTTATCAGAAGTGTACATAAAATACAATAATTTTATGTCCATTTACTACATTTTACTGTATTATTTGTATTTCCATTCATTTTATTATTAATTTTGATATTTCATTTATGGAAAAAATGTCATAACTGAGATTAATATAAAAATAAGGTCATATAAATTTCATAAGATGATACTGATACTTGTAGATACACTTCTCAGTTGAAATTGAAAAATCATTAACTTTTCCACATGTGTTTCACAAAAGTAAAGGCCTTAACAGCAGAGAACAATTCTTAACTCAAATAACACAACTTAATTGTATTCTGGTTGGTCTTGCATACTTTATAATTACAGCCTGATTCTAAACTCAAAATTACATTTCTTAATTACTGTCGGTCTTCTGATTAGTCAAAACAATAAAATTTATAACGCGCTAAAAAAAGATATATCTCATAAGGACACTTACGAAAGTGGATGCGGCTTTTAACAAAGTTTATAATATTTTAACAACTTAAATGTAAAAATCTATTATAATTAAAGAAATAACAAATAATTGTATTAAAAATTCATTTTTCATCGGAAAAATTTTTTGCTTTCAGAAAATATTGTCCATATTTATAAAAACAACTAAAAGCAAATAAAAGCATTTGAAATTAAATAATATCTTTGTTTTATTGAGTTTTGTATGTTACAATTCAAGGCTGATTTTCAGGTGGGGGGGGGTCCAATTAAAACCAAAAAAAATATGATTTGCATTCCTCAAAGCCTTGTGCTTTTAACTATTGCAATTACTAAAGTGGACTCAATTTAATTTCTAGAGTTTTCATAAAATTAGTTATGGGGTGTGGGTAATAAATATAAAGAAAATATTTCTGCCATGACTTTAATAAAAAAAACATATTTATAATAATTTCCATCATCTGTGAATAGTTTCTGAAAGTTTCATTAACATCCGACAATTATTTTTATTTTTGAAAGATTTTCCAAATTAATGTTTCATACAAAAAAAACGTGCTAAAAATTGTATGTTATTTTACTAGTTCTGGTTATACAAAGAGAAACAAGGATTTTTAAATCAAAATTCAGAATGTTCTAAAAAGAAGGAAAAAATTTTAAAAATAATTCAAATAAACTTTGATCTTTCCTCTTAATAATAACAAACATTTAGACGATATAATTTTGTTTTTGTCAAGTTTGGCGTCTTTTTCATCATGCTATGCTCTTTTTTTAGTGATCTCATGGAGGTATCTAGTTTAGCATGAAACAGTCTGTTGCATCTAAGTGTTGACTTCAGTGTTCACTTTTACATATATATATATATATATATATACACATATGCACACAATGAGGTGGAGCTGCATTATCTTACTAGAAAAAACAATCAGCACTAGAAAACATGGCAAGTATAGAGGGGTGTAAATAGTGCATAACAATATCTGTGTATATCACACCTGTTTCAATAGGGGTCCTTATAAACTCCAAAAGAATCCACCCTCACATACCATTACAGATCCACTACCATCTTGCACAACATGATGCTGACTAGCTGGATCAATAACCTTAAGCAATTTTCCCCACTCTTGAACTCTATCATCCATCTGAAAGTATGACTTTTCCGACCAGGCAACATAGCACCAATCTGTCACATTTTAATGATGTTATTCTCTGGTCCATATGAGTTGCATAAACTATTGTTATAGTGTCAATAAAGTATCCTTTGTTGATAGATGATTATAACCCCCCCCCATGGAATACAGTGGATGCTGTATTGTTGGGATGTATCTGCATTGAATTACAATGTGATTTGATGCAATGTTCTCCTTTATTAGATGATTGTCATTCTGTTCTTATTTTTACATAATCTTGGTATGTCCTTTGCTAGTGTTGCCCAAGAATAAAACTAGTGCAGTTGCCACCTCAGAGATAATGCCTCATGTTTCTGATCCCACCAATCATTTTATGGTTAAATAGCATAAAATCCTGTCTATGTTCCATAGCTGCTGCAGCTACAATGTCACAACTACATTACTTCTTTACCAAATGAGTGAGGGCAAAATCATCCAATATCTTGCTATCTGTAATTATTTGGCATTGTAATGTGTGAGTGTGTGAACAATGCTGTGTCATCTACTCCTGCTGACCATATTATTAGGTCCTAAGAATAAAAAATTGTGAAAATATACTTGTGTAAGCTGGCATAATTTTAATTTCTCTTTAACAGTATTTTTGTTTTTTTTTTCTGTTGCAGATTTGTTAACAAGGCCAAAGTGGATTACCAGAATTCTATGCTGTAATAAAGTTCTTTGAAAGAATGATTGCAATTTAAAGGGAAACAATTACAAGGATTTACTTGGCAAAGACAACAATTATTGCTGAAAGAAGCAAAAAAGGTAAAAAAAATATCTTAGAAATTTCTGTTTATTTTTTTGCTCTCCAGGTGACTTTTTATTGTAAAAAAAAAAAAAAAAAATGTTTATTGGTTTTAATGTCATATTTAATGAAATATTTTAAGATGTAGACTAACCATTTTTATCATACTTTATTGAGAACATTTCTTTATTAAAACCTTTTACCACGGCCTTATTGTGAATATATATTATTAAAAACTTGTAATAAGACTTTTCAAGATATGCGTAAATTTACTTTTACAAATATTATTAATAAAAGAAAGAAGCTTCAAATATTCTTTTTGATGAGTTTAATGTCTGTCAGTATTTAAAATATTCTTTCTTGTAGTCTAAGAGAGTTAAGCTTATATACTTTTACAATGAGAAATTGTGTAAAGTATAATGTTTATTGAATACTATTAATACTATGATACTATTAATATTAGGAGAAATTAATTTTTCACTCTTGGCCTTGTGCCAGACTAAGCTGAGTAAATGCCTAAACCCTAAAACATTGTTAATTATCTCAAACATTGCTGTCCTGACCCCATACAATTCTGAAGATAAAAATTGGTGTATGTATATGGTCCTTACTTTTAATTGAAAATTATCAAATTTGAAGTGTTGTTCCTACTGTGTTTTATCTTTTCATTTTTGTAATATATGGTGTTTTGTAGGGAGTTTATGAAAAATACAGATGATGTCTTAATCTAAGCTATTTTTTATCAATAAAATTTATAACATGAAAATGAGACTTCATATAAACTGCATTCCAATATGTTTTATGCATGTCTTTTTAAATTTTGATAGTTTTAGGTAACTCAAATTATCAGAGAATATATTAAATTAGAAAATCATCAAGAATAGTAAAGATTTTATATAAATGTCAAACATTTTTATTAAAATAATGTGAATATAAAAACTCAATAAAATCCAATTTTAATTTGTAAACCATATTTTCTTAGTGTCACTAAAGTCTAATCAAATTTAAAAGTCAATTTAAAAAATGTAACATGTCCTATTTTTAGTATATTTTGGATTCTCTTTACAATTTATCATATAAACACATTTTAAAATATTCATTTTTAGAATAAATATTTTGCAATGATATTAATCAGGTGACTATAAAACAGTTGTGTGTCTGATTGATGTATATTTTTATATTATTCAAAACTCTTTAATAAATATTATCTGAAATTTGAATTTTCTTTTTATTATTCCACAAAATATTTGGACTAGTATCCTTATTTTTGTTATTTTTATCACATTTCAGCTGATATGTTCTTCAGCCTTCACCAAGCACATGTAGCATCCATTAGTCCCTAGTAGTGTTACTTACTAGCTTTTTTTTTTCTTCTATATAGGAACAATCCACAAATTTGAATGTCAAAATTGTTCTTGTGAAGGATAAAAGGAGTTTAAAAAAAAGGCTGAGTAGCACTCAGGAATTTACCAAATGTGACACAAAACATTAGGATAAAAAACATGAAAATATTTTATTTCAGTACTTTTTATTTGGATATGTAAAAAGTCACTAAGACAGATATCTATAAGAAATATGTTGATGCATTTATAACATTAATGAAAGTGAAATGTTAATGATTAAAGACATTTTTTAATAAAAATCAGTAGAACTACATTTAATTATTTCTTGACAAATAGCAAGTGGCTTATGAACCTTATATCTAAAAGCTAAAATGTAAACTTGTGTATCCTCTTAATTTTGATAACAATAAGCTGTGCTGTGCTAGAAGCAAACTTCTTCCTGATCCATTGATGACTTGATGTTCCTTTGATAACAGATAAAATCAGACAAGGCAGAAATGGTATTTAAATATAAACATATGCCAGATTGATAAAATATCATGCCATGTAGACTATATGTCTTTTTTGTATGCTGTAATATTAAAGTAGATTAAAATATTGGATATCTGATATATTGAATATGAGGATACTCTTAAACATTCAATTGACAATGTTTACATGACATGTCTATTCAAGGTTATGATACAATATTGATCTTGACTACTTTGTCAGTACCATAAGAATAAAACAAACCTGCTCTAATAAAAAGAAAAGAAAGTGTAATACCACTATTATCCATACACAGAAGCTAAGGAGATTCTCTGGAAATGATTTGATGTTGCTCTAGAATAAAATAAAGAGAAGCATTGTTATGAGGAAAGTCTTTTTCTGCAACTTTGATTTTTCTAACAGTGCATGCTGAGAGAGAGACATTGTAAAAGAACTGTCTTATGATGTGCTGCTTTACATTGGTAAAGATTATCAAAACTGATAGTGACACTTTCAGAAACTTCTCACTGTCTAAGCAGACTTAATTCTGACATTAGAATGTATAGTCTTTATTTGTTTTTCCTTCTTAAAAGATAGTGACATATGCTGTAGGGAAAAATCAATACATATCATTCTGATGTTTATGAAAGAGTAGGGTTAAAAGATTGAGTAAGTGAGGATAAAGTTAGAATGAAAGAGAAAAGAATGAGAGATAATTAAAAAAAGAAGAAAATGAAGCAAAAATAACAAACTTAAAAGATGAAAGAAGACAAAAAGATAGAAAAGAGCAGATGAAAACCAAAGTTTAGAGAAATATAAATATACTAGCAAAAGAGAAAACATCCAAGAGATGAGAAAGAAAAAGAGAGAGGAAAAGCAGAAAAGTCTATGAGAGAAGAAGAAATTAAAAGTAAGAATGAAGGGTAAAAAATAAGCAAAGGATAGAAAGGAAGAGGAGGTGAATGAAATCCACAGTGAGTGTAGGCGAAACACTGCAAACATATGAAGAAGGTTAAAACAGTTAAGGAAAATATGGTTACATAAAAATATATAAAATATAGTAATTAACAAAACAATAACAACTGGAAAAAAAATGAAAATTATTCACATAAAGAAGGAATACATTTACCAGCTACAATGATAAACAGGCTTTATTGACAAACACCCAAAGAGATACATGGTTGAAATTTGTGTACCTAAAGAACAAATGAGGCAATAGTGTTAAACAGCCAATCAATAAAGGACTTGATAAATCGCAAGAAACATAAATAATGCTATAAAATAACCAATCAATGATAGACTTGGTAAATCATCAGAAAAATAAATTAAATTATAGTGAAAAATAGACAATCAATGATAAACTTGGCGAATCACTATATTTTGATGTATATACCCAGCACAGGTCAACATATTGCACACATTTATTTATACATGCATCTCTGTGTGTGTGTGTCTGTCTGTCTGTCTCTCTCTCTATCTATCTATATATATATATATATATATATATATATATATATACATACACACATACACTTGACACATTGCACTTGGCTCTGTGCTTTGTATGTGGGGTAGGGAGAGCTGTGGTGTTCAGATCAGATTTGGTGTTTCTTATGTCAGTGTACCAGAAATCAACAATCACAGATTTATATAACCATTGGGGTTCATTCTGTTCAAGACAACAAAAGACAAATCTAATAAAGACCTTGGTCCATTGTGCTCCAGTAATTTGCTCAAAAACAAAATTAAATTCACAAATTGAATTTATTAAGCAAGTTAAAAAAACTGATACATGTTGGATATAGTGGATATGTTCAATGTTACAATTTGTTAAATTTGTTGATTGGTCCCCAGAAATATCCTGTCTATTTGTGTATAGGTATTTGTCCTAGGTATGATGTTAAACTACATCCAGTATTGGGTAGGTTGGACTCAACAACCTTGGAAAACAGTTCACCTAGGGGAAGGAAAACCCTTATTTCAAACCTCCGTAGCCTTGCAGCCATATGCAGCCACAGAAAAGGCTTCAGGAGTAAACCTCGAAGAAATATCCGGAGACAGAGTCCCTAAGGCAGTTCGCCATTGTACCCAACACGATCTGACAGCTTCTGCAATGGCACTGGTCCCAATCTGTATTGACCCTGTCATTCCTTTGGTCTTATCACCGGTGATGTGGACAGGGATGATGTGCTACATGGGCAACAGCCTGTCCTTCATATCACATTTCCCAGGTTTGCATCCGACAATGCAACACTGCACCAAAACACCCTGCACTACACCTGGAGAGGACACTCCAGCTTCACCTTCAGCATCAACACAACATGGAGAACAGCAGTTACCCCAACACAAGGTCTCCTGGAGATGTCCACACTCAAAGCACTGGCACCAGCTGGATCTCATTCTGGTCAGATGAGCCACCAGTAAGGACATCCTTCACACACGTTCTTACCACAGCGCGGACTGTGACACAGACCACTCCTTGGTGTTCTGCAAGATCAAACTCCAGTTCAAGAGGTTCTGCTGTGGCAAGAAGCAGGGGAATCCTCGCATTGATGTCAGCAAGATAAGCCAGCCAGGCCTTGTGCAACAGTTTGCCAAGAGGTTTCAGAACGAGTGGGCGCACCTCACAGACTGGAGACTCTGCCACGGAGAGGTGGGTGACCTTGCGGGACACTATGCACTGCACTGCCTTGGCCACCTTTTAGGAGAAAAACCTCAGTCATATGACTAGTTTGAGGCAAAGTCTGCCAAGATGACTCCTGTCATTGCGGAATACAAGTGGTCACCCAGCAACAGAAACCTGCAGAAGCTCCAGACTGCCAGGAGCAAAGGTCATCAAACTGCTAGATGCTGCACCAATGAGTACTGTACAGAGCTTAGCAAAACTATCCAGACAGCAGCAATTACATGGAACATCAGTGGGATGTATGATGGCATCAAGATAGCAATGGGACCAGTGCAGAATAAGACAGCTCCCCTCAAATCCACCACCGGGAAAGTCATCGCAGACAAGGGGCAACAATGGAGAGATGGGTGGAACATTATTCCAACTTCAACTTGAGGCAGAATGTTTGCTGAACGTGTCTACCCAGAGTCGCAGTGCAGTTTCAAAGCTGAAAGATCAATGGTAGACATGGTCTTCTACCTTTGCCAGCTCCAGGAGAAGTGCAGAGAACAGTAGGATGCCTCTGTACATCGCTTTTATCGATCTCACTAAGGTGTTTGATCTTGTCAGTGGAGAAGGCCTCTTCAGAATCCTGCCCAAGATTGGCTGCCCACCCAAGCTGCAGCTTGATTAAGTCCTTCCACAACGACATGCAGGGAACTGTGCAGTTTAATGGCAGCACCTCTGAGCTCTTCAACATCTGCAGTGGGGTTGAACAGGGCTGTGTCCTCACTCCCACTCTCTTTGGGATCTTCTTCACTCTGCTTCTGAAACATGCATTTGGCACATCATGAGAAGGGATTTACCTGCATACAAGATCAGATAGCAGGCTGTTTAGTTTCGCCCGCCTCAGAGCCAGGACCAAAGTACATGACGCCCTTGTCAGAGACATGCTTTTTGCTGGTAGTAGCAAGTCACACCAAGTGTGAACTTCAGTCACTGATGAACCATTTTTCCCAGGCCAGTAGAGACTTCAGGCTGACCATCAAACTGAAAAAGACAAATGTCCTCAGACAAGGTACCAAAACACTACCAGCCATCACCATTGATGACTATGAGCTCAATGCAGTCCATCAGTTCACATACCTTGGCTCCACTATCACTGACGACCTCTCCTTAGATGCAGAGATTGATAAGAGAATTGGGAAGGCAGCCACAACCCTTGCACATCTCACGATGTGTGGAGACCAATCCCAAGCTGACAGTCAAGACGAAGATGTTAGTATACAATGCCTGCATCATCAGCACACTGCTATATGGCAGCGAGACTTGGACCACATATGGCAGGCAAGAAAGGTGTCTGCACATCTTTCACATGAGAAGCATCTGCTGCATCCTGTGAATAATGTGTACAACACTGAAGTCCTGTCTTGAGCAGGTCTGCCCAGTATGTTCACATTGCTCAGACAGCACAGACACTGTTGGTTGGGTCACATCCACTGCATGACAGACGGCAAGCATTCCCAAAGATCTCCTGTATGAAGAGCTGGCCACTGGAAGAAGACCCACCGGGTAGCCATAGCTTCAGTACTTCGATGTCTTGAGGTGTGACATGAAAGCTGTGGACGTCAACACAGAGTCCTGGGAGAGCCTGGCAGCCATACAATCTGAATGGAGAGGAACCCTGACTAAACACCTCAAATCAGGGTAGGAGAAGCTGACACAAGTTGCCATGGAAAGGTGGCCCTGCAAAAAGCAAAGTGACAGCTCCAACAGACCAGAAACAGAAAACACATGCAACCTCTGTAACAGAGTTTGTCGCTCCTGCATTGGCTTCTACAGTCACAGACGTTGATGCTGCAATCAAGCAGACAACTAGGATGCTACCCATGCTTAACCCTGGCCAACATAGGCAGCCTTTGTATTTCTTTCTGTGGCTGCATGGGATATTGTACACACAGTCTTTAGTCATGTTCTCCTCTATGGGGGTCTTACTCGGAAGACAACACTTCGCAGATATCTCTCCTGAGTAAGACCCCCCCCACAGAGGAGAACATGACTAAAGACTGTGTGTACGCTATCCCATTCCAATCACCTGAAGAAGGCCAAAGCGTACAACAGCCGAAATGTTGTGATAAATATGGCGACAAAGATGAGGACAATAGTCCGAATAATGTAAATAATGTACATAATACCTCATCTCAGAAATATAGACAGTTACTGATTAAATCGGATGTTTCTATGCGTATGTATCCTCACACTATTACCATGTCTAGACATGGCTACTTCCTATATGCTCTCCTTTCCCACCTCCCCCTCTCTCTCTTACTTGTCTTCTCTCTATTCAGTTTCTCTCTCTTTCTTTTCTCCATCTTTTTTCCTTTACTTCTTCCTGGCTTTTAAAATTAGTCTTAGCCAGTTTTATTTTGATTTTCTTACAAGGAGAAATAATGATCATCAATATGGAGTAATCCTAATTCCTATTGTTTATTTATTTTTAATCAAATTATTTGCTACATTGATTATTACATCCTCTTTGGAATTATCCACACGGATTACTAAACCCTTCATTACCTTAAAGAGAGAAATGAACTTATATGCATGCAAAAAGAAGTTGTAATGATCATCATCACACACATACATACATATATACTTACACAACTTCTAATTATACAGCAACAAGTATTCATTGAATAATAAATCAGCACTACTGTGTAATGAACAATTTATAAATCGCAGCTATGCGACAATTTTATAATCGCTATATTTTCATGTAGTCAATTTTGTGCACTTCTTTGGAGAAATGGAGCCCAGAAGCTTTCATTAGTCTCTCTAAAGCTCGCTCGCTGATTGGTCAATGCCAACCAATCAGATTGTCTGCACATGAAGAATGATTCTCCCCATGCAGCACTTCGGAGCCGATGATCACCTATAAAAGCAAGAAATATTCTTAGATAATTAGTGAGAATTCAGCTGCCAAATGAATCCATAACAGTTGAAACCATGCACCAGTCTTCTCACTCACACTACAACTGACATGCTGAATATTCCCTACACTCACATAATCTTTTTCCTTACACAGCAAAACTGTTGAAAACATTTATTACCAGAAACTATTACAACCTTATTGCTTTCAGTGAACTTTGGAACAATTGATAGTTAAAGAAAGACAACTCTTGTTTTACTCAATGCATGCTTTTCTTTCACATCCTTATTTGTACATCTTGTTAAATACATATTTTATGTGTAATGATGTCTTTGGCTTATCCTTTTTTCTTCACGTCAGTTTGGTTTCTTAATCTAAGTTGAATTAATGTGGTGAAATTCGCCACAAATTTTTCATTTTTCACTTCATTAAATTTTTAATCTGGCTCCAATCTCAGTTGCACAGTGTTTACTTTTACACAATTGTAATAAACTTGTTGACTTTAAAAATCTGTCATTTCTCTTGATAGATTCTTTTTTTCTAAATGGACAACTTTTTCTTGCATTTTCTAAGATTGCCAATGTAATCAAATTAACATTGAACATGATGTTTTTCCACCACATACAAATTTATAAAACTCTAACAAATTTAATTTTCTATGAAGTATTCAATTTAGGTTTGAAGTGAGGAGAGAAACAAATTGCTAAAAGCAAAAGTCTGTGGGACCATTCAATGATGCTATTTTCAGATGGTGTATATGTGCATTAAAAGTATATATATCTACCATCTGAAAATGGAATGTGACAGGCAAATTCAGCCTTCTCCCTATCGGCTTTGTCAAGGGCTACCTGCCAGTAGCCAGACCTCAAAGCAAGGATGGTCAAATAGTAGACTTCTCCAGCAATATCAATATGTTGTCAATGAAAGGTATGGAGTACGCTAGTGGTTTGGTTATTTTATTCAGAGCCTTCCAAGGTGATGCGGAGGGTTCTATTATCCCTGCTTCCAGCATATTCCCAACTATCTGTTGTGTGAATTTATGCTTATGTAGTGGGGTCCAGTATAGTATTAGCTTTATAGGCAGATGATTATCTGTCTACTGTTTTTGCTTGCCCTAAGTCAGCATCCAAGTCAGCTACCACGTCTATATTGTCCCATTGCAAGATTTGTACATATGTGGAGCTAATATTTCCCCTTCCCTAATTATGGAATTCTTATATCTACTGCTATAGTCTTCTGCACATTCTGCCTCCCCTTTGGTAATAGCTGGTATAGCCTCCCCTACTTTCTCTTCCTTGCGAACCCTTATTGTTGTGTTAATAGTACTAGTAGCTAGCATTATTTTGATATAACCTGTATCATCATCTTCCACTATGGACTCATATACACCCAACTCACTATGTTCACAGGTTTGGCAATATCTTCCTTTGGCTTCTTCAAGGTGAACTGCTATCTTACTAACTTCTGGCTATGGAAAGAGGACTCTTACATTCACTGCTCAACCTGGCAACTACTGACTCACTCACTGCCAGTCCTTTCCTTACTGATTGCTCCTGACTGACTGCCCATTATATGGACACTGGCTGGGGTCCCACCACCCCTATCCATCCACTTGTGTTCTGGAAAAAGAAACCACCTATTCAGCTTTTAGGTAGTTAGTTTTTCAAAGGACTCTACTTTTATGGTTATCTAAAATCACTAACAAATTTTTATGTTTGCCAATTCAAAGGCAGGCTGGAGACAGGGTTCCTGAAAATTCTGGTCATTAAATTGTCTTAAAAGGAAAAAGAATATTTCCTAAGGATGTGTGAGAAATTATATTGTCACAGAGGAAACATAAAGGCATGGTTTCCCCATTATTTTCTCCATGATTTGGATTTCAGAGCTTTCCTTCTTTTAAACTGGTTATTACTCAAAACTATGGAGCCCAGTTTAGCCTGATATTTAACCATAGCTGAATGGAGAAATAGTGATGGATTCATGTCTTTCTCAAGGATATTAGTGTGAAAATGGATGCAACCCAAAATTTGAACACACTTTAATACCAGCATATCCTTGTAAATACATAGATTAAAGAAATGAACATATGAAATTCTGTAACTTAACCAAGCTGGGGATCAAAGAATTGTTTCAAATGTGATAAAGGGTTAATCACTAAAATTAGGGCTTCTGGACACTCACCACTCTTCTCGGGTGTTCACAGTAACCCAAGGTGTGTTACCCATGTGAGAATCACTGCAATAGAGAAAAGGTTTTATTTCAGAAATGCTATAATTCTAATTTAAACATGTATGTATTGAATACATGTGATGTATAGAAACCTTTGTAGCTACTGGCATATATGGATATACATTTAATTTAATAAATAAATGTATATAATTACTAATTAGTGATTAGAGAAAACAAATCATGGTATAGACTAATAGAATATCACCCTAGAATACCCAAACTTTATGGTTTACCTAAAACCCACAAAACAGGTATTCTGATGTGTTCCATTTTATTGGTAGT